GAACAATTTCACTGTCATTGTGACACACACACCACACACACACACACACACACACACACACACACACACACACACACACACACACACACACACACACACACACACACACACACACACACACACACACACACACACACACACACTACGCACATGACGCCACTGCGCCTTTAACATTTTGCGCGTCATTCTCTGCCCCGCCTCCTATCACCACTGATTGGTCCGATCACACAGCGTCTGTACGTTGATTGGCTGAGATTGCGTCAGCGGAATGATCCAGCGTCGCGTCGCGTGTGTGTGAGATCAGAAGATGAAGAAGCGGAGGAGAGTTCCAGCTCGCGCTCATCCGCGGTTACACTCAAACTCACTTTATAAACAAGAAAACTTTTTTCCTTTGGGCTTCTAATAATACAACCACTGATTCATGATCGCCATCAAAGATCAGTTGGAGATGATTTTCAACCGATGTTTGTGTTTGTCGGAGAGTGTCGCTGATGAACCGTGAAGCAGGTGCACTTATAGAAGAATATTCTTCATCTTCATCCTCAAAACATGATCTGCAGGATCACACTCAACTACTGGAGGGATTCGCGGGGATTTAAACCGCTGACCGCACTGATGGACTCATGATCACACACACACACACACACACACACACACACACACACACACACACATACACACACATGCTGGAATATCGCATGGATTCTGCTGGGATCAGATGTTTAGAGCTGTTTATGGTAAATATGATTCCTCTGTCTGTCAGGCTGGTTGTGATGGACACAGTGTTGATGTCATGTGACTGACGTGTGCGGCGCTTTGATGTCTGTTCTTGGAGCAGGAGGTCATTTCCGCCACATCAACAAAGACACACACACACACTGACTGAACACACTCTCACTCACACCCATAGCCTACTCTCTCACTTACTCTCTCACACACACACACACACACACACACACACACACTCACTCACTCACTCACTCACTCTCTCATTCTCTCACACACACTAACACACTCACTCACTCTCTCATTCTCACACACACACACATACTTTCCCAGTTTGCCGGTCTCGTGTACTGGTTAGTGAGGGAGTTCCTCTAATGCTGTTGTGACTGTCGTTCGCCCAGATCCTCTTACAGCGATGATGTCAATCTTCTGGTTGTTAAGCAGTTTCGTCTCCTCATCATCCACAGTAATAATCACCTGTATCCGCTGAGGAAGTGGCGTGTCATTATGGGCTGGCTGCCGTCCTGTGCATCTGCCCAATTGGTTGTTTTAATTTTTATAGGATAAAGACACCAGGTGAAGTACTGAGTTCTTTAAAGAGGACTCTTCATGTTGTTTTTGGTCTCTACTGAATGTTGATTATTCTCCATTGTTGCGGCTCCTCTCTCCCCAGTCTGTCAGTAACGCTCTGTTTACTTCCTGTGTCTATGAAGCCCCTCCTTCTGAAAAGCACACTGTGCTCTGATTGGTCGGCTGGATCAGTGTGTTGTGATTGGTCGAGCGCTTCGAGTGATTAGCGTCTTAGCGCTCGCGGAGTGAAGTCTATTTTCTGCGGGTCATTATGAAGCTCTCGTGTGGAAACCCTGCAGGAAGAATTCGTTCCGTCTTCTCATGAGCGCCCTGCGTTATTAACGTTTTTAATGACTTGAAGGATTCGATGACCGTTAACAGCGTAACGAACCGTCCCGCGAGCCTGAGGATTGAGGAGACAGGAGCACTTCATTAGATCAGATGCGAGACTTACAGTTTATTCATGCAACTTAGTTTTTCGAGACCTTCTGGCAGAAAGACTGTCTCTGCCACAGAAGAAGGAAATCATGCTTTTCTTAATCACAGTTATGACAAATTATTATATTAAAAATTTCACAATTACGACAATAAAAAGTAAATTACGACATTAAAGATAAAGTTGAAATTACAACAGTAAAAAGTTGAAATTATTACAATAAAAAAATCGAAGTTGAATTGACAGTCAAAATAACAACATTAAAAAGTCTAAAATAAAACAGTAAATGTTTACAACATTAAATGTTTAAATTACAAAATTAAAAAAGTCTAAATTATGGTATTTAAACGTCTAAATTACGACAATAAAAAGTTACAATTATGACAGTCGAAATTACATAAAAAAATTAGACATTAAAACGTCTAAATTACTACAGTAAAAAATCGAAATTATGACAGTAAAAAGTTTAAATTACAACATAAAAATTATGACATTTAAAAGTAGAAATAATGACAACCAAGTCAAAATTGCAACAATAAAAAGTCAAATAATAAAATTACTACTGTAAGAAGTTGAAATTTACGTTTAAAAAGTCGAAATTATGACAGCAAAAATGTGAAATTTTAAGTCGATAAAAAGGAGCGGTGGGTTACAGACGGAGTCAGATCAGATGTGCGACTGTGTTTCAAAACTTTTTTTCAAATTGAAAAGTGAAAAGGAACGATGACATTTCACTGTTTTATCAAACATTAACAAAGAATAATAACAAATGACTATGACGCACCGGCTAATGGGACCTTATTGTAAAGTGTTCACAAATAAATGTGTTTATAAATGTGTATGATGTGGAGGTAGTTGTACATTTTGTTGCACACATTTTTTAGCCCTTGTGAACATCATATTTATATCATAAATCAGCAGTATAACTCAAATAACTCATAAAAATCCTTTTCTTAGTATTTTTTTCCAGACCAAATATGTCTTTACTAATTAAGATTATTTTTCTTACCCGATTTGCTGATAATTTTGCTTTTTTTAAGCAACAACTCACTTAATTTTGATGTATTTCCCCAGGAAAGAAGACATAATATCTAATGGCATTTTACTACTTTAGTAAAGACATCTTTATTTAAGAATTTGTAGCACTGAAAAGTGGAAACAATGCAAAAATATTAAGTAAGAAAGCATTTTTGCAGTGCACTATGAGACTGTATAGATAAGCGTGTGCTGAAGCTGCAGTCGCTGCATAATCCATCAGATCTGCATTTCCATGTAAAGCGGGCCGCGAATCCCCTGTAAATGTTGGGATGTAAATAATTGCATGTTTCCGGGCTTTGGTGAGACGTGCTTGAACGCTTTCAGAGGTTATTTAGCAGCTCGGCTCTAAAGAAACATCTTTGTCTTCTCCGCTACGCTGTGATACCAATTATGCTAAGTGTTGGAGAATTTAAACAGGGCCGTCCCTTATCGGCTAATCCTGGAGTTATAGATTCCATTAAAATGCATGAGGAGCTTTACGGATGAATCCGCAGATGTTGCGTGTCAAGCTCTCTCTCTCTCTCTCTCTATCTCTCTCGGTTATCTCCTCATTATTGATAGGATCCCGTTTCCACAGAGAGACGGTCTGTCGACTCATCCTATAGAAGCTGATCTGTACAAATCCTCCAAACCAAAGTCACTTTCCAAACCTTTAAAAACCTGAGAACAAGAAGTCAATAGAGCTGATTCGACGCTCCGGTCATGACAGGACCAGTGTAATTCTCTCATTAAACCATTACTGATGACTAACGGTACTCTGTAAAAAAAAGATTTTTCAAGATTTGTTATCACAACATTTTTTCTTTTGTCAAATCAACTTATAATTTAATAACTTATTTAGTTGAGATAACTTATTATTTTCAGTTTCTGATGATTAAATCATTCTCCTTCATTGTATTAACTCACTTTTTCCAGTTCAATCAACTTAAAAATTTTAAGGCAACCAGGTTACTTACTTTTTTAAGTTAAACCAAAAATATTTTTTTACAGTGTCGTTCATTAATCGAACAATATTCGCCTGTTTTGAGAGTCTCAGCGTATTTGGTTTCAATAAAAGCTGTTTTTGGACTAACGAGGAAGTTCTGAAACGTGCAGGGTTTTTATATTACTGTACAATGAAACGAGGAAAATTTGATTTCTCAATTCATGAGCCATTTAAACTTTTTAACAGCAAAGTAGAAAAGTAAAAAGTTGAAATTATGACGGCAAATAGTCAAAATTACGACATTAAATAAAAAGTTGAAATTATGACAGTAAAAAGACAAAGTTATCACATTAAAAAATGACAGTCGAAATTATTACAACATTAAAAAGTAAAAATGACTGTTGAAATTGACATTATAAAAATTCAAATTAGGCTACATGAAAAAGTAAAAATTAAGACAATAAAAAGTTAAATTATGACAGAAAATTTTGACTTTGTCGTAATTAAGATTTAACAAAGCATGATTTTATTCTATTGTGGCAAAAATGGACTTCCATACTTCTAAGTTTTGTTAACACTGACTAGTCATTCCTTAGTAACTCTTGCCATCCAACATTTTATTAGGTAGGTTACACTTTATTTCAATAGTCAAATTTAGACCTTCTGCTAACTATAAGTAACTATGCAAGTACATTTCAACTTAGTAACCGTAACCTCACATTATACTAATACTGTAATGAAAGTTAGTCGCCATGTACTTATTACATCTATTTGTAGACTGTTATGTTAGGGTTAGCCTAGTAGAATGAGTTGACATTATAGTCAGTAAATAATTAAATTTCAGCATCTGCAGCAAACAGCATATTTGTGCTCAGTTTGGGGAAACAGCAGAATACAGGCACAGTTTGTCTGCCTACGGGCCTTATCAGAAACCCCTGATCGGCGTGGGTCGTGTGTGGGAATGTTATCTTATTGTGCCTGATAATATGCTTATCGCTGGTGCCAAATGTTACTGCAAAGTGCCACGGGTTTACCGTCTTTGCCATTTAAAGTTTGACGTCCCTCCGACAGCTCAAAAACAACAAGATCCTTCGTTTTCATGCAGAGACGCTTCATTCCTGACTCTCCCTCATGATGTTCTGTCTTCTGTGTGTGTGTGTGTGTGTGTGTGTGTGTGTATAATGGGAATAATAGTCATAAATGTTTCTTGATCATCAGATCCTCATATTAGAGTGATTTGTGAAGGATCATGTGACACTGAAGACTGGAGTAATGATGATAAATTCAGCTTTGATCACAGGAATAAATTACACTTTATTGTATATTCACATAGAAAACAGATTATTATCAGTGTTGAAAACAGTTGTGCTGCTTCATGTTTTTATGGAAACTGAAGTGTTTTCTGCAGATAAACGAAGGCTGAATGTTCACTCCAGACTGAAGTCATTGCCGTCCCTTATAAATCATCTCTCTTGTTTACTTTCTCCTTTGAATAAACAGTATGTATATATTTTTTTGAATATAGAGTTCTAGTTCTTGTGTCTTTAATGCATTTGTCGCCCTGAGCTGAAGCTGCTTTTACGCTTGTTGATAAAACTACAAAAGCTTTTCCCAGGAGGACCTGATTTATTCTCTCTATCTCTCTCTCTCTCTCTCTCTCTCTCCCTCTCTCTCTCTCTCTCTCCACACAAAAACCTGAATCTTCTCTTCTTGACAAATGTGCCATAATGGAGGCCTTGCTGTGAGTGCGCAGGTTTTGGCCGTCGGGTCACTGGTTTTGAAGAAGGGATTCCTGTGAGGCGAAGATGAGGGTCTGCTAATGTTTCTCCAGGCGGTTTCCTTCATCTCTGCTGTTGTAGGTAATCGTGTCCATACAGATGCTTCTGAGCTGTTCTGCCCTCTGGAAATGAGAGCAATAAGCAGATAAATCAGAAACAGTCCATGCACTATGAGTCTGAATCTCTGTAGCAGCTTCTGTTTGCTGGTTTAGAAACGTGTAATCGACTCATTTCTCTATAAGTCTCTTTAAGTCTTTATAAGTCTCGGGCCGTAGGTGTAGGTGTAACGGAGGCCAGCTAGTAGTTGCTGTGCGAGTAAACCTCACTCCCCGATCTCAATAGGCGCTCTAGCGACAGACGTTAGAGGCTGCAGTCTTTAGCCTCCTTGTTAGCGCGCCTGACTCTCATGCCGGAGACCCGGGTTCGAGGCCCGCTCGGAGCGGGGCGAGTAGGACCCGGGTGTGAGGGGTTACATTGGTGCCGTGACCCGGATGAGAGTGAGGTTTAGGGGGGTGAGTGTAACGGAGGCCAGCTAGTAGTTGCTGTGCGAGTAAACCTCACTCCCCGATCTCAATAGGCGCTCTAGCGACAGACGCTAGAGGCTGCAGTCTTTAGCCTCCTTGTTAGCGCGCCTGACTCTCATGCCGGAGACCCGGGTTCGAGGCCCGCTCGGAGCGGGGCGAGTAGGACCCGGGTGTGAGGGGTTACATAGGTTGCTGATGTATAGAAAGGCCAGGTATAGTAAGTTTTGTTCCGGTATCTATACAAGCTCTAAATGCATAGGAAATTAGCCATTGTTTTTGTTTTGTTGTTTTTGTGATGTCAGCGACTAGTTTGATGGTATTGTGATATGTTGATAATGTAACATGTTTTGTGTGTTTGTGTTATGTACGCATCTACGGTGGGAAAAAAATGTCCTCTCGAGGACAAATAAAAAATCTATCATTTTGAACTGGTTTGTCTCGTTGCAGATATTTGACCTGTAGAGCTGAAACGGCACCATGCTGGCGTGTCTTCAGAGACCGAACCAGCCGACTCGACACCAACACCAGCACCAGCCGGCCCGGCAGCAACCGCTGACGTGTGCAACACAGATTCTGGACACGCTCAGTCACAAGAGTAAGTCTGCCACAAACACCGTCTCTGTCACAGAGGAAAATATCTGGCTTTTGTAAATCACAAATTAAAACACCAACTTGACATTAAAAAGTTGAAATTGAAACAAAAAAAAGTTGTAATTAAAACGTTAATTATGACATTAAATATAAAGTTTTTACAACGGTAAGAAATCATATAAATTAATTATAGCAATAAAAAGTCGAAATTACAACATTTAAAAAGTCAAAATTATGACTGTCGAAATTACAACATTAAAAGTCTAAATTATGACACTTAAATACAACAGTAAACGTTTACAACATGTCACTTAATACAGGAGTGTATGAAGTATAAAATCATTATAAGATCTGCTTTGAGTGTGAACGTAAATGTAATGCACCTTTACTTTTTCAGTTTCTTTGTTTGTTTCTAAGCCTCAGATGGCTGAAATATAAAAGTGTTATATATATTTTTGTGTTAATGTTAAATTACATGCTGTAGATTAATAACTAAACTCTTTATTCGTGCATTTATTTATTTATTTATTTTTGCATGCAAATATTAATGCATTTTGCATGCATTTAATTATTCAATTATTTATGCATTTATTATTCATTTATTTACGTATTAATTTTTTGCCATTTTGCATGCATTTAATTATTCATGTATTTATGCATTTATTATTCATTTATTTACGTATCATTTTTTTTGCCATTTTGCATGCATTTAATTATTCAATTATTTATGCATTTATTATTCATTTATTTACGTATTAATTTTTTGCCATTTTGCATGCATTTAATTATTCATGTGTTTATGCATTTTTTTCAAGCATTTATTTATGCATTTATTTCTCAATTATTAATGTGTTTTTGCATTTAGAACGGTAATTGGGCTTAAAGGGATAGTTCACCCCAAACTTTTGTATTAAATTTGAAAGATTTGTATTATCCGACAGTGAAAGTCAATAGGCTCCTATGTTTTGTATAACATCTTCTGTTCCAGACATCAGATTTGTGCTGTGACCCTTTAAACTCATGGTTCTAGCATTAACAGACAGGGCTCGAGCCGAGCAAATGCAGTCTGACAAACGCAAATGCAAGGCTTTAGTGCTTCCCTCACAGTCAGATGTGAAGCGGTGTGTGTGTGTGTGCGCGTGTGTGTGAAAGATCTCCATCTGTTAGTCCTTCCTCTTGGTAATGAAGGAGTCCGTCTGCGTGAGTATTAGCGGTTTGCTCTTGTCCTGCTGGCAGCTCAGTCTGCATCAGGTGTGTGTGTGCAGTTAATTATCTGCATGTTAATTGACATTTCTTCACCTCGTCCTCATGATCGAGGGTTTCTTCATCTGAGGAACATCACGTGCGTTTACTCTCAGCTGATAACTGCTTCTCGATTGCTGTGTGTGTGTGTATCAGTATCTGAAGAGTCAGTGTGCGCTTGGTGGATAAGTACTGAAGGTCAGGACGCTAATTACCTCTTCATAACCAACGAACACCTACGCACGGGTTTAGGGCATCTCTACACCTGTAGTTTGTTTGCTTTGTTCGGAAACTTTTGTTATTATGTTGTGTTTTCTTCTTGTTTGGTTCTCTTGCTCAAGGCAACATTATGTGCGGGTCACATGTGAGTTAAACTGTCCTCTCATTGGTCTACACACTCCTCAGTGTCGTCCATCAAGCTTGAGGCGTACCAATCGTGTTGAAGCTTATCACCGGGTCAATACTTTTAAATGGCCTTATCCGTCTGTAAACATTAGTAAGGTAGAGGCGTTGTGTGTACCTTTAAGACACTATTCTGGGGTGAATATAGTAACGATGTCCTGTTTATATTCTCTACGTCTACAGGGAGCGTCATTTCATGGGTCTGTAGTCATGATTGGTTTGACTGACTGGTCAATAGTCACGGTTACTCCCCCTGTGGTGAGAATCCAGCGTTTAATGTTGTTTCTGTGTCTACGTGGTGTTTTTAATACGCTTTAAGACAAGCCACGTGTAAATTCATAAGTCATGAGTGGAGGCGGATTTGCATATTCATAGAACCGCGCATACTAAATGAGGCGAGGGTGTCGAGTTACATTCCAGATATTTTGTTGAAGGAAAAACTAGCTAAATACGTCATTTTGGTGATCAAAGATGAGTTTTAAGGGATGAAATGATTGAACACACACAAGTTCGTTCAGTCTGAGAGCAACACAGACTCAAACTCAAGCACTCGCTCGCGTCTCCTCCTCTGTGTCGCTCGGCCCGTTGGGTCTCCGGTTCTTCCCGTCGTTTCAAACACTCAATTTATTTCTTTTATGAGATGGATCTTGTAGATTGAATGGTTTTCACAGTTGGAGGCTCACTGTGGGCCTGGGATGAAATGAAGTCCCGAATCAATCCCAGACGGGAACAACGTGACGCTCAAATTGGCTCTGAATGGATTATACGTGTGTGTTTCCAGATCCTTCAGTCGTCCGCCACCGAGCGATGTGATCGACCTTGCCTTCATTTCAGCACTTTCTGGTGTCGTTCCTGCCATATTTCTGCTAGTAGACTCGCTGCTCATCAGTGGTGTTGTGGGAAGCTAAACGGCCATGAAATTGCTTGAATAATGTGTTTAAATCCTATCACGGCGCTTTCCTTCACCGGCTCGTTTTCATCTGAAAGCCTCGGCGTTTGCACAGATCTCAGATCCGTACACCAGTATGATATTGTCCTGCATCTACTGTGGTGATAGCATAAACACCCCAGTTAATGTCATTTGCATACATTTTGGCACAGGTGTTTATTTTTAATGGACTTTTACTATTTCAACCTCATTTCCTTTAATAAATCTATGTTGCACTAGAAACATAAGATAGTTCCCATTAAAACTGCTATTTTTAATCCCAGAGCCATTTAACTATTAAATGATGCAGTCTCTGTTCATAGGCATTCATGCTGTTGGCAAGGCTTCAGAATTTAAATTTTGTAAAAATAAAATTACCACATGTGCCATTTTTCACAGGTTCGGCCTATAAAGCAAATACTTTCCTGTTTTCTGCTTATGGATATTATAGAGCCGACTGGATAAATATGCTGCTGTAATTGTGTGGGTGTGTTGTATGGATGTCAGAGTGTGGTTTAAATGTGTATAATAACAAAATGTGTGTGTGTGCTTGTAATATTTGAGAGAGACAAACTGCAAATCCCAGATCCGACTGTGTCCCAGTGTGTGAATCTGTCATGCGCTCAAACACACACTCATTTCTGGAGATATTAACCTCAGATGTGGAGCACGACCTGTTCAGATGTATGCCTTAGAGTTCAAATACTTGTTTATATAAAATAATGTTCATAAATCATTTTCATAAACCTTTTCTAAACTTTTTTTAATTACTTTTTAATTTTTTTTTTTTTTACTTTAACACTAATCTACCAAAGGTCTTCTTTAAAATAATACCAAACTTTTAGGATTAAACTTCACATTCATTTATGACTGTTTTTAACACAAGTAATTCAACTTAAAAGGTCAAACTAATATATTATATAGGCTCGTTACATGCAAAGTGAGATATTTCAAGCCTTTATTAGTTATAATTGTGATGATTATGGATTACAGATATGAAAACCCCAAATTCAAAATTAGAATATTGTGAAAAGGTTGTAATCCAGTTTTCATAAACTTTGCATGTAATGGGTCTATATAATAAATTAGTTTCAACTTTTAAGTTGAATTACTGAAATGAAATTTTTCCAGATATTCTAATTAGGGATGCACCGATATCAAAATTTTGCCCAATACCGATAACCGATAATTCGTTATATTTGAAAGCCTATAACCGATATGTTGGCCGATATTTATAAATTCAAATTTTTATATAATTTTTGAGAGACTGATTACAAAAGAATTAATTTTATGTAGCCAATATGACAGACTTAACTGTTTCTCTGTATTTTCCTTTTTTGAAGTGATTCCAAATCATATTTTAAGCAATTCAAAACCATCTTGGCGAACAGTGCGTGTCTAAAGCTGAAGGAAATAGTCCATTATTTATCAGCTTTAATATATCAGGCAAATTTTCCAATCGGGCCGATAACGATAATGTCAAAAATGAACATATTTCGGCCGATACCGATACATCATGCATCCCTAATTCTAATGCGTCGAGTTTCCCCTGTTTGTGTAACTTCTTTAAATTGATGCACAAGTGTTACGCAAACATGCACAACTCCTGTACTGTATATATCCCTGTGCTTCTGTATATCAGCGTTCTCCACTGTTATTTCTCTGACGTGGCGTCCCGTTCGTTTCCAAGAGCGAATTGCGAAGCCAAACGCCATGAAATGAATTCCACTCAAGCCGCTGAAACAGAATTAGCTCCTTCCCTTCCCCCTCCTCATCCCTTTTCTCTCTTGATTTCCCAGGGTAATCCAATTTTGTCCTGAAGAAAGACCAAATTAATTTCATAATGCACCGATCAAACATTGCCCGAGGTGTCTCGCTCCTCAAAATGAGCTTTTGGAGAGATGCAGATGTCTGAGCGTGAAGGAGAACCACACAATATCTTCCTTTTATTGGGCGATTTTTCTTGTGATCATTCCTGCACTCATCACTCTTCTGTATTCATATGCGACGCTCCTCCAGCGCTCTGTTGGACAGCGGATCTCACACTGGAGACATCATTGGGAGTTGTGCATGAGGCTGTCGGACGGAGGTTTGCGTTGGGAATAACGCCGTGTAGCGCTGTCAACAGGGCTGAAAAGATCAATTCGAATTTCTTTCTTAAATATGAACAAAATTCAAATTATATTAGAATTCTAAAGGCAATGCTTAATGTAAATACAGTGCTGTATCGTCTCCTGTGTCCACAAGAGGGCGCAATAAGCAGATGTAAACCAAATTATCACATCTTTTATTGACTTTTTAAAGGGTAACTAACCCCCTGGTCAGAGCCTGACTCCACCCACTGGCAATATTTGAAAATGCTGAAAAAGTGGGCTGACCCCAGCGAAGATAGAGGGGACGAAATAGATGCTAAAACACTCTATCATGATCATTTTCAATACTCACAATTCCAACTCCTGACTCGCTGCAGTGGTTTTGACGACACAAGCTGGTTTTTATACTGCCAAGGGCGTAGCTCGCGTGCTGAGCTGAAAGTGCAGAACATCTAATAGGAAAATTCAACTGCAGTAGCCACCGTTCAACCTGAAGAGGGCAGCACTAAGACACAAATGTCATAAAAGTTACTCGAATCAATGACTGGTATTAATAAAGATCCATTCTTACAGATCATTAACTAACGCTGTATAAGCTAACAAAAAAAAAAAAAGAAAACGCGACAGTGACGTCATCATGTCTCGCGCGCCTCGACACACCAAGAATACGATTGCAAATTTTTTTTCATTTGAATGTGCAATTTTTTTTATAAATTTAACAAATATTCAAAATTCGATTTTTATTTAATTAGCTCTAATGCGGAGTTGAATTATTCATGCCTTGCACCGTCTACATCTCTCTCTCTCTCTCCGCAGGCGAGCCGAACCCCACACACTCCCTTCGCCAGCCGTCCGTGGCCGAGCTGAACGCCTACGCACAGAAGACGCTCGACGCCCCGCTGTCAATCAAGATCTTCCCCTCCAACATCCGGGTCCCGACGCACAAGCACGTCAGCAGAACCGTCAACGGCCTGGACACGCGGCTCGGCTCCGGCCCGCATCCGTACGCCCGCGGCTACCAGGGCCTGTTAGCGATCGTCAACACCAAAGGCGTGCTCGATGTCAAACGAGCCAAAATGGCGGTGGCTCCGCGTAACAGACACCGACAGAATCCGTACGTTCATCCGAGCCCGTCCTTCGCCGAATCCAGTTTCGCTTATTCCGGAGCCGTGTTGCCAACTCAAAGCGCAGGCGTTAGCGGATTGGGATCGGATAATTGGGAGAACCGACGAACTCTACACGGGAGTCGCTCTTCCGATCTCTGCTATCGATCTCAGCTAGCGTCTCCGTCGTTCGGACAGTTCTTCGCGACTGCTTGGAACGGCGGCGACATCTCAACCGGACCGTCGCTCATCGATCCCGGACTCGCGCCGTATCCCGCGGATCCGAGCCGGAGCCGGGCCTCGCTCCTCAGCACTAGCACTAGCCTTCGGTCTCTGGAGAGCCTGATTAGCGAGATCCATCCGCCCTGCATCAAGGAGAGCATGCTGGGACACGGATACGGCGGCGACCATCAGCCTGTGTTCAGATAGAACCGGCTCAGACTGGAGATCAGCGGTTTAAAGGAGTCGTCAATCGGGATCCCTCTCAGCGCTGAGTGAGTTAGCCTGCAGTTCCTCCACTGGCCACTAGAGGCGCTGCAGAAGAGACTCACTCCCATAGACACGCATGTTAAAACGCCCAACTTTACAGCAGAATAAACATGTTTACAGTCTGGTGCAAAAAGTGGTTTTGGTCTTTATCGCTAATGTTGGCCTTCATGACGACTGTGAGGACGGTGAATATTTTTTATAACTAATCCGTTTAAATTATATTAAGCCTTAAAGTTCTGCATAATTAAGGGCGTGGCCATTTAAGTGACAGGTGGATTGATGCTGATGTCACTGCTAGCCGTTTGTATGCTAGCGTTAGCATCATGTCACCTCAGCTAATCCGCCTCGCCGCACATGTTCGTTTATCCGGGAGTGACGCGCGGCCAAGATGGCGACGGCCGGCTCCGCCCACTTTGGGCTTCAGAAACGCTCTGCAGAAACACTACGGGTGACGTCACACACACTACGCACATATTTCTTCAGTCTATGGTATCGATAATCCTAACTAACTGATCGGAAAGGTCACATGATGTTTAAACTTGGATTTAAAGATGCAGTAAGTGAGATATCGCCCTCCTCCGTCACACTGAAGGCTCGTTCACACCAAGGACGATAACGATTAAGACATGAGGAACGACCCAACTCTGCCCCCTGATCCCTAAACCCACCCCTAACCCAGCTCCACCCCTTGGATCTTGATCCGACTCCTCCCCATGGATCTCATGTACTGCACATTTTAGAATAATTAAATTTTTGAGATGATAAATTATAATCAACACACACATAAGCTTCAAACGTCTTCAGTCTGTCACCTCATTTAACCTGCATCAGTTCTCTTTAACCTGTGTGTGTGTGTGTGTGTGTGTGTCCTGAAATGAGTTTGTTCTCTCGTCGAGTCCGTTGTTTACTCGTGTCACGATTACACGACTCATGAAGATCTCTGTGAGTCGATGCCGATAGGACGACGGTCATGTGTTTCATATTCTTTATTCTGGTTGGTCAGTTTGAACTGTTCTGCTGATGATGTCGTGTGTTTTCATCTCTGTGATCGATCGGTGGGTTTGGGGTCACGACCTCTCCATCAAAACAAAGGAATCTTCAGTGTGTTATAAATGTTATTCCTGGTGTTTTATTTATTGATATTTGGACTCAGGAGTGTGTGTGTGTGTGCGTGTGCGTGAGTGAGTGTGTGTGTGTTGTGACAGTTATGATGTCAGCAGAGGCATGGACTCTGGAATCTCCACCAATAAGATTGTCAAATAAAGATAATTTAGCAATGTTTTCTATTTCATTATTTTAACACACACACACACACACTCTGTCAGATGTTGCACAATACACAGTTTCCTGAAGGTGTCGACAGCGTTCGGTTGTCGTGTCTTTGCTCCTAAAAATAGATTTAATTTTCATAATATCATTTATTTCTTCCTTTTGATTTTCAGCTGAATTTGTTTTTGATGTCCCAGGCTGTAGAGGTCAGCACACACACACACACACACACACTCACACACTATCGGCCCCGGGACCGCAGCTAATCCTTTTTCAGTGTGACCTGAGCTCTCTCACACACACACACACACACACACCCTCTGTTATCAGCTCTGCAAGGGCACAGAGAGCCAAGAGGCCCACATTAGTGACTGTACAGATGGGTGTGTGTGAGCCGCTAACACACTCATCGAAGATCAGAACGGTGTAATCATGGAGAGTGTGTTTCACTGCAGCTCCAGTAACACCAGTCTCTGCTCATGCTGGAACTGAACACTGTCTTTATCTGGAGTGAGCATCAGCACTGGAAGCCGTCTTTATTTACCCTCTCTCTCTCTCTCTCTCTCTCTCTCTCTCTCTCACACACACACACACACACACATCAATCAAATGTTCAGTTCAGTTTTCGGCAGAGTGACTCACTGTGCACGCGCGCCCTCTGCTGGCACTGGCACTCTCTTAATCCCCGTGTGTGTGTGTGTGTGTGTGTGTGTTTCTGTGTGTGTGAGTCAGAGTGAGTGTGTGAGTGTTTCTGTGTGTGCGTGTCACACTCATTCTCTCACAAACACACACACAGACGCGCACACACACTCCTCTATCTTCAACTTCTCCCTCTGATGTCAGTATATGTCTGACTGAAGGGGAGGTCATTTCTAAAATAAATGTTAAATTTAAATGTAATTCACGTCATTTGTAAATGATTATGGCCTGAAGGGTTAAACAACTGTCTAATGACTCGTATACTGAGTTATTGCATCCTAACAGTGAAATAACTAAGATATATACATTATAAATCAAATATATCGGTCTATCTGATATCAAGACTAGATTAAAAAATTAAAGATTTGACAGAAATGCTAATTCTCGTTGAGCTCTTTAAACAAATGATGAAATCAAAGCCGCATAAATGAAAATGCTCCGAGCTTGTTAATTTTCTAATTTGTGTCGTCGACATCGATTTTGCGGTATATTTATCTTGAATACATTTTGTGTTTGGTATAAACTATAAACGTTGTTCTATATGAGATCTTGCTGTAAATGTCTGCTTTTGTAATGATCATGTGAGTCCGATAGGTGGCGCTCTGACATCACCAGCCAACTTCAATCACATTACATTACTCTTCAGTAATTAGGAAATTTAATTCATAATCCGCTCTTTTTTACTATTTATTTGATATTAGACTTGTCATCTTTAAAGCGTTCATACCATTCAGTTAAAGGAAAGGAAATGAATATAGTTATCTGAATAAAGAAACTATTTTTTTATCATTATCTGGCATTCCAAACCACAATAAATAAATATAGCCTAAAACTAAACGAAGTTAATAATTTGAAAATAAATAAAGTAATAAATTACTTGACAATTTTTTTTAATTAAATATAGCCTGCTTTTCTTTTTGTATTACATTTCCTTTATTTAGTAGCTATTTTCTGTGTTTATCATTTTATTCATATTTTTGGTGTTTATTCATCTTTTTTTAAACTTGTATTTGCTCTTTCATTCATTTATTTTTATATATTTTATATTTCAGCCTTCATTTATTTTTTTATATCTATCCCTTCATTTATTTTTTATATCGATTTATTCCCACATGTATTTATTTACCTATATATTTATTTATAAATGTATTCATTTTATATAGAAGTGGATACGTTAATTTATTTTTAACGGCTCTCGGTCCTCAAAGGGGCGGGGCTATTAAAATATTCATTTGCGGAGAAAGTCTGCAGCCAATAAAAAGCGGGAGGTCAGAATATGCTAATGAGCTCTTGACAGCTGTGCTGGAGTGGAAAGTCTGGAATCCTCAATCCTGCAGCTCGTCTCGTGAGGAGGAGAGGAACCGTTAACTCTCTCAAGTCTCGAACTGACAGGATTTCATCATGGTTACCACATTTACTTCATTAAAAACGGCTGTCGGTGTAGTGTTACGTTAAGTGTGCGGTTTTCCGCCTCTTTAGATGTGTTTGCGGTGAAGGAGTCGTTAATAATGTTCCGTTTGTTCTCCTCGGAGCGCGGGAGACAGAAGCAGCGGCTCGAGCTCAGTCTGGCGGGAATCTGCGAGCTCGAGCTGCTCAAGCGCAGGCACGAGGCGTTGGTCATCAGCGCGCTCGCGCTACACGCACCCGAACCGAACCCGAGGTGCCAGAACCCGAACCCGAGGTGCCCGCCGCCGGTAAGCCTTCTTCAGGCACATCTTTATACACTTTAGAAACACTGAGAAGGAGTTCAATTTGTTAAATACGCGAGGGATGTTTTACATAACCAATTCTCACTTATTAATCCACTCGTAAAAAGTAAACACCTTTTGGTTTAATAGCAGAGTCGGCGCCAGAGCAGATCTACTGGAGGGGCATTGGGTCATCAGTGGGGGGGCACTGCCGTTTAAGAAATATTTTGACGCAAAAAAAAACAAAAAAAAACGAAACACCTTTTATTATTATAATTATTATTTATAATTATTATTTGCGAATTTCCCCACCAGTTTTTGCCAGGGTCGATGTTGCCCCGGCACTTTTATACATCTCGATCTCGCGGCACGGATGTACCAATACAAATAAATAAAACATATCCGGTTACCTAGCAGAGCATTCATTTGTTAAATAAGAGGCGATATAGCACGCTGAAATGTGTTGTTTTTTAAATCAAGTGATCAAAGTGCTCGGTGACTCGATCTGTGGTGCTGAAGTGTTCTCTTGTGGCTCGCGCTGCCACAATAAACATCTTCACACGGACGCGCGCTTGATCTGTTGCGGCGAAATCTCTATTCGTACAAGTAAAATGCACTCAAACATGTCCCTGCTTGACAGCCACTGATAAACATAATCGGTTTTAATGATGGGGGAAAAAAATAATTATGCGAGTGTGGGTTAGAACCCAAAATCTTTTGCACGACAGTCTAAGGTTTTACCAGTGGACCACTACAGCACTTACAATGAAAAGTCGGATTGGATGTATGTATTTCTTCATGTGAAAATTCTTGGCACCAACACATATTAGATCCACTTAGACAAAAAATTAAACACAATGTACTATTTAAATAGATTGCTGAACATTTGGTATTGTATAGCCTACATCTGATTTATGATTTAGAAACTGTGGTAGGAGGGGCATCAATGAGCGCTAGGGGGGGCACGGCCCTCGAATGCCCCACCATAGCGCCGACCCTGTTTAATAGTTTTGTGGTGTTCTCCTACACTGAAAAAAAGAAAGAGTGTAGAAACCGTTTTCACTCCGAAATTCCACAAACAATTTGAAGTATAAAGACTTAAATAATAATTTCCTCTAAAGCAACTCTGTTGTTTCAACGGTCAAAAATGGACAAACTCAACGGTGGATTCAAAAATGTAATTTAAAATTTAAAACCAGTAATAGTAAGTTTTAGTGTTATAATGAGTTTATTTTTCTACAGTAAAGCAGAACATAATTGTCATGGTGAAATTTGTTTTTGTCACTCAGACTAAAGTTTGAAGTATATCATGAGAAGAAAATAAGAATAATGTTCTTGTTGAGCCACAGAGTTTGGTTGAATTTCTCACAGGTCTTGTTCTTCAATAATCATTAAAATAAAGTTATATTTGTTAGCATTAGTTTATTACATTAGAAATACTTCTAAAGCATTTATTAATTTTAGTTACTTCTATTTTTAACATGTACTTATCCATTATTTAAAAATAAAAAGTCTGTTTGTAATTTGATGGGCCTGAGCTTATATAAAATATACTGTAACCAATATTTAATGCATTAACTAAATGTAACTATTTGGAGTTTATTATTACAGTAAACACAACTACACACAGGTGTGGTCGTTGACACACAACGGCTCAATATTGCTCACACTTATTTCTAATGATGTGACCAAACCAACTGTATGTAACACACGTCACTTCAGAGCCCAAATGTACTCAAGTCTCAAAATGTTGCAGTGAATGTTGATACCAGTAAGAGGAGGAAGAGGAAGAGTCCAGCATGAAGAATCTCTCTTTCACTGTCTGTCGCTCTTCTGACTGTACTTTACTGTACATGAAGAGTTCAGATGCAAAAGCCTCTAAATGCCATTTGAAATTTTCTTCTTTAATGATGATTTTTATCAAGCTTGTATATTTAAGTTCAGTAATTTCACTTAAATGGCAATGATAATTACCTATTAATTGTTATTTAAGTGAAATTACTGAACTTAAATATACAAGTTTGATAAAAATCATCATTAAAGAAGATAATTTCAAATGGCATTTAGAGGCTTTTGCATCTGAACTCTTCACATGCTTTTCATTTGGACAGTTTTACTGTAACCTTTTGGCTTTTCTAGTTGGTCACTGTATGTTCCCAGTGTGCAAGAGCTGATATACACTCCTTCCATTGGCCCACTATTGTGTGCAATACTACACATGCATACTGGATCCAATTCATTCGCCTTAAGTTGTCATTACTATACTTTTTTTTACGTAATTGCAAAATTTGTTTTGTTACAATGTACTATTTTTCTGTAACTGCATACTTTGGGTTCTGTGTTCTCCACTTTCGGGTGTTTGATGGATGATTTGTAATATTGACTCGTGTGTGTATGATCTGAGAGCGTTGTGTGTTTTCGAGCTGGTGAAATGATTTTGAGGCGATGGTTTGATTTTGCCAGAAGAGTCAGAGGTTCTGTGGATGTGGTCTGAAAATTTGGTTTTGTGTTTAAGGTTTTGAGAATGTGAGTGATGGGTTCAAGAAATGTGTTTTAGCAAATCAAAAAAACAAATTAATGATCACAATGTTATTAACAGTTATTTCAGACAGTAAAGCAGCGATGAGACAGAGTGAGTGAATCCGTTAATAAACGAACATCTCAGAAGCGCGGACTCGAGCAAGAGTGCGGCTCACGGACCGAAAAGAACTGAACTGAACCGAACCGAACTGAACCAAATTGAAACCGAACTGAACCAAACTGAACTGAAACGAATTGAAACCGAACCAAACTGAACTGAACCGAATTGAAACCGAATCGAACTGAACTTAACCGAATTGAAAACAAAACTGAACTGAACTGAACCGAATTGAAACCGAACTGAACCGAAACGGAACTGAACTGAACCGAATTGAAACCGAACTGAACCGAATCGAACTGAACTGAACTGAACCGAACCAAACTGAAACTGAACTGAACCAAACTGAACTGAACCGAATTGAAACCGAACTCAACCGAACTGAACTGAACCAAACTGAAACCGAACTGAACTGAACCAAACTAGCCCCTTTTCCACCAAAGCATTTTGCGAGCCGGTGCCTGCGCGTGAACCAGTTCTTTGTGTTTCGACAGCCAAAGAACAGGTTCGCGGCCGGGAAAACTGGTTCCACAGCGGCACCAACTCTTTGCTGGACTAGAACCGTTCTTTTACCACGTCATGTTTACGTCGGGGTCTGGAGCGGGTTTAGATGTGCTCTAAACATCTTTTCTGACCATCGCAAAGCCAGGAGAAACCGCAGAAACACGCAAGCGTTTTTATTGATTTTTTTTTTATTTGAAGCATAAGCAAAGAAGAAAACAGTCACGATATAGAACAAATAAATGGAAAGAAAAAAGACACAAGACAGGGGAACATAACTTATCAGAAAAGATTACATATCAAACGAAAAGATTCTTACATATTTCAATTGTTTTTAAAGTTATCTTGGTACCCGTTAGAGATAATCCCAAAGCAAAGTATTTGCAAGCATTTCTAGCAACGTGCACAGTGACGTAACGACGTCGTTCCCTGGGCGCTCTAGTCAGTGGAAAAACAAACAGGTTCTAAAGCGTTTCGCAAGTTGAACCAACTTTGAACCAGCACCAGTTCCGAACCAGTTCTTTTTGGGTGGAAAAGGGGTAACTGACACCGAACTGAACTGAACAAAACTGAAACCGAACCGAACCGAACTGAACTGAACTGAACAAAACTGAAACCGAACCGAACTGAACTGAACCAAACTGATACCGAACCGAACTGAACTGAACCGAACTGAAAACAAACCGAACTGAACTGAACCAAACTGAAACTGAAGCAAACTGAAACCGAACCGAACTGAACAAAACTGAAACCGAACCGAACTGAACTGAACTGAACTGAACCAAACTGATACCGAACCGAACTAAACTGAACCAAACTGAAACTGAACCAAACTGAAACCGAACCGAACTGAACTGAACTGAACCGAACCAAACTGAAACAAATTATCTATACTATAAAATTATAAAATTATAAAATTATCATTTTATTCATATTTTTGGTGTTTATTCATATTTTTTTAAACTTGTATTTGCTCTTTCATTTATTTATTTTTATGTATTTTATATTTCAGCCTTCATTTATTTTTTTTTTATATCTATTTATTCCCTTCATTTATTTGTTTATATCGATTTATTCCCACATGTATTTATTTACCTATATATTTATTTATAAATGGATTCATTTTATAAAGAAGTGGATACGGGTCTCGGTCCTCAAAGGGGCGGGGCTATTAAAATATTCATTTGCGGAGAAAGTCTGCAGCCAATAAAAAGCGGAAGGTCAGAATATGCTAATGAGCTCTTGACAGCTGTGCTGGAAAGTCTGGAATCCTGCAGCTCGTCTCGTGAGGAGGAGAGGAACCGTTAACTCTCTCAAGTCTCGAACTGACAGGATTTCATCATGGTTACCACATTTACTTCATTAAAGCCCCAAACTGAAACCAAACCAAACTGCGACTCTATTGTCCTCGGTGAAGCTGCTGTGACACGATCGTACTGATAAAGCGCTGTAGAAATGAGGCTGATAAAATGAGATAAAACACAGATCACAGTTAGAGGAGAAGCTCAGCAATTTAACCTTTTCTTCTCATCCATTATTCACACACTCAATCACACACAGTCACATACACACATACACACACACACTCAATCACACACACACGTTTGAGCACTGCAATTATTCCTTCACTTCTGAATCTGCAGGAGAAACAGGAGACGTTAATTACAGCAGAACTGTCCAATCAGAGCACAGGACCACCAGCACTACACTAACACACACACTTGTGTTTATACACACACAAACACAGATGAAATGAGGGCAAGTGTTTCCGGCTGTTGTCTTGTGTCAGATTGCTGTCAGCACTGATGCCAGGAATAAACATTGTTTGAATGAGTGTGTGTCAGTATCAGTGTGTGTGTGTGTGTGATTGAGTTAGTGTGAGTATCTGTGTGTGAAACAGTGAGTACTTTGAGTGTGTGTGTGAGAGAAAGTGTGTGTCAGTAGTATCAGTGTGTGAAAGAGTGAGTGTGTGTGTGTAAATCAGTCAATAGGGATAATGGACAGTGCACGGCTCTTGATCTCGGGGGCACTGTTTCCATGACGACGAGCCGCTTCATCCGTTTAAGCTAACAGCCTTAGCATGATCTTATTTGGGGGCCCAGGAGACATTAGTGAACACACACACACACATCGCTGACATCTGACCTGTAAACACTTCCCCCAAAACACACACACACACACAGTCGTCAGCTGTCGGACACAACACACTGACACACTTCTGCACTGGTTATTCTGCTGATGTTGTTTTCATTAATCAGAGTCTGGAACTAAAAATCCTGATATTCCTGAAGTTTTAATGAACAGTATTATTGTTAGTTCATTCTACAGTACAGTAACATATTTCTGTCCTAATTTCTTGATGAAACGATAATGTTTCAGAGTGTGTGTTCTCGAGCTCAAACACTGATGTGTGTGAATGAACGGTCTTCTGTTAGCGGTGTCGTGTTAGCGGCCGCTAAGCTAATAACTAATGATCCGAATCAATCGGAACTAACTTTATCTGGACAGTAAGTTTATTCTAGATCTGCTGTAAAGCCCAAACACTCTCTGTGACTGTGATCTCCTGTTATCACTGTAAAGATGATATGAAACTCTGTTTTAGGAGCCCGCCTCATTGTGTGTGTGTGTGTGTGTGTGTGTTTCAGGAGGGCGTGTGGAGTTTGATGAAGCTCCTGCAGCATCAGGTCGGAGAGCTAAAGATGGACGCGGCCGAGGCTCTCGCTGAAACGTCACACACTCACCCCGGCTCAGGTACCGAACACACCACATCATCACGTTCATCAGGGATGGGGAATCTCAGTCACATGACACTGTTGTTACACAGATCCAGTGAGGAAGCAACTGAATTCACAGCAGAATTAAACTAAGCTAACTAAAGTGAATTGTATTAATGTGTACATGGCACGATGACAAGTATGCTACTATTTTTATTATTGCTTGACACAAATTAAAATTCTTGTGATTTGATTCTGATCTGGATTCAATATCGATTCCTTTTAGAGATGCACCTCTTCTGCTGTCAATATTTCATATTCATTCATTCATTCATTTGGTAAATATCTCTAATAAATGGGATTATGTGCGGTCGTCATACAGGATTAACCCCTTCAGGACGAGAAGAGAGAGTCACTGTGTCTTGATCATCAGAGTCTGTTCTTCTGTAATAATGTCTAAAAGTATATTATCTGATATACTCATGTGTGTGTGTGTGTGTGTGTGTGTCAGGCTCCTCTGAACACACTGAGGGTCCTTGTCCTCTCGGCCCCGTCCGGCTCTCTGAGAGACACGAGTCTGTTGGTGAGTGGACCACCCAAATAAACTCACACACACACACACACACGTCTGTCTGCCAGCTCTGCACACACACAGACTCTCTCACACACACTCACACGTCACGTGAAGTTCAGATTTTTCAACTCGGGCGGCAGACACGAATTCGCATCAAATGCACAGAAAGCATTAAATAACGTGTCTTTGCATTGACTTGACATTGAAATCGCGCGCCTGACGCTCTATTCGCGCGAGTCTGGTGTGAACGCACTTACAGTGTCGGGGAAGCTACTCTGAAACTGTAGTTTGACAAGCTACAAGCTACTCGTACGTTAAAGTAGTTAAACTACAGTCAAGTTACCCTTTTGGAAAAGTAGCTAGCTACACTACAAGTTACTATCAAAAAGTAGCTAGCTACGTTGAAACTACTTATGCTTTTTGAACAACATATTATAAATATTATTTTACATATTATTATTATAACATGCTATAAATTATATATTATAAATAACTGAATAAGTGTCTGATGAATGTTTTAATTAAAATATTTAGTGTTTAAAACAATGCAATACAATTATGATTTTTAATAGAGTATTGTTTTATTGCACACAACACTCAAATATCGCAGACTGTTTGTCAAAAGTGCAAAATTGCAACAAATAGCCTACAACATTGCAAGAACAAAATATACATTCAACATAAATTGCATTTAGAACATTTTCTCAAAAATACCGATTGAACTTGGACAAATAAGACCATGGGTAATTAACTTTAGTTGTTTCTCCATCATCCAAATCTGCCGTCACCTCTGGCTCCATCATAATCATAATATGGGTGTGTCACTGTCAACCCACTTCTTTACGTCAGTGAACCGTTAGCCACAAGACGCGTGATTAAACAACAGGTGGCGGTAATGGCAAAAAATGAGTTTGTAATCTAACAAGATGAAGAATATCCTTGCATCGCGTCGATTCGCGCAGGCTCGACAAACGCAATGTAGCTTTTGCTCGCGCTACACCGCTACTTGCAGTAGTTAGCTACTGGAAAAGCTACACTGTTTAAAAAGCAACTGAGCTACAGCTAAGCTACTGAAAAATGTAGTTAAGTTAGTAGCGTCGCTACTTGTAGTTAACTACTCCCCAACACTGGGCACTTATAATCAACTTATGAACACATTCCAGACTGTAATGTTCACTGTTTGTTTGTTTTGGCAGTGAAGCGGTTAAAGCAGAGACTGCAGAAACACACACAGAGTCATGAGATCTTTAAGCGTCAGTGTGAATGTACACACTTGTGACACTGAGGAGGAGAAAGACCCGCTCTGTTAGAGCACACACACACACACACACACACTACACACTCTCTCACGCCGCCTTCACACTGGCAGTTGAGATCAGTAATACGCAGCGCCCCCGCGGACGCCGTCTACACAGAGAAGGCCGCCGGAAGCGGGAGGATCAGGAACGGCACAGAGGTTAGAGAGGCTGGTCTGGCAGTTCTGATGAGGGTTATAGAGAACCAGCGGCGCGGGGAAGTTGCTCAGTCAATAATATAATGGTGATAGTTCAATGTCTGACACACACACTCTATTACACACAGCAGAGATGTTCACAAGTCATTTTTTTGGAAGTCCAAGTCAAGTCTCAAGTCTTAAATTATTAGGCATTGTCTAATTAAATATGTGCGAATTTGCATATATGTAAAAAACAAAAACGAAATCTGAGTAGCCTATCCACAAGTTTCCTACGCCCCATGAGGCCTTGCGTCAAAAGTGGGCACGACTTCCGGTTGGAAGTAAACAAAGCACGATTTGACATACTTCACACTCGTTCATTCAACAGTTGACAGTCATTCAAGTTATAGCGATCCAAACTAGCTAACGATGTGGGAACACAACCTCAACCAAATTAAAAAGGGTGAAATAACAGTACCTTTACCCTCCGCAGTAGTTGATTGGGAGTATTATAATAACATTATTAATAATCAATACTCATCAAGGCATGGTGACAGACAGTTGTGCGAGCTGACAAACAATTCAAATAAAAAAATACACACTTAGTCATTGTGCTTTGGAGTTTATTCAAAATTATAAATGAATGTGCTGCTTGAATACATTAACTGGCACATTTGGTATTCTGTCAACACAGGCTTTGATCCTGAGTTTAGCTGTAACATCAGTAGCGAACAGTCTTTATAAAATATAAAGAATTAAAAAAAATGTACACAGAAAGATTCGTCGTCTTTTGGGAGGTGATGGAAACTAACGTTACAGTCGTTGGCAGGATCAGAGACGGGCTCTGGCAGGATCACTCGTTTTCGGCTTATGTTCAAAACAATCACGTTTAAGCCACTGAATTAGTTTAGTCCGGTTATACATACAACCGCGAGCAGCACATGTTGTCCCTGAGCTCCGTAACGACATCTCTCATAAAGATTTGCGTCTTTAAATAGTAAAATAATTCTCCGAAAAACAGCTAGCCTCTTCGCTAACTAACCCACAAAACACCATTGGAATGCTACTTCCGCCGCGTCACCGGAAGTTTCACCCACTTTATTTTTTACAGGAGCGCCCCTCGGAAACTTGTGGATTAGATAAAGCCATGTTTAAAATAATTTTTTCATTGTGTTCACATACAGTAATAGATGGGGGGGAAATAGATATTTATGGATATCTACTTTTGTTATCCTGTAGCCTTAAATAGATTTTCGCCATGTTTTTAGAAAAACAATTTTATATAAATCAAGCTAGGAATAATATATTTACAAATCCATCTGTAATAGTCTTCATAATAAAACTAGGTATACGACTGGACGGTTTGGTGTATTAGGTTTGGTATATAGGTGCTACTGAAGTGGAGTTTTCAGACTTGGAGTTTGAGAGACAAGTCATTTTGAGAAAACGCAAAACGTGATCTAAAGATTTCCATCAGGCCAATGAGATTGCTCATTTAGAGTTAAATCCCCCCTTTTACTTTCGCGATTGGTTGCTGATTAAAAGGAAATGACCATATTTGGATCCGACAACATTGATTTGGAGAGAGAGAGAGAGCTTTCTGACGATGTCTGTGATGACGGTGCAGATCGGGATGATTTACAATGCCAACTTTTGTTGAATTTATGAGAAATCTACAGACGCAAAGTCAATGGAGACGGTTGGATTGTTTTCCCCCGCTGTGGGCGTGGCCTAAATTCGCTCTGTCTCATGCACAGTAAAGGGCGGGGGACATGCAGCTTATCATACGCTTCCCCAACGTATGCGCCAATAAAAGAAAATAGAAATACATAAAAATGAATTTAGATTTAAAAAGCAATAACTGCATGAAAACAGATTACTGACAAGTCTTTTGGGTCGAATCGCAACTCAAGTCTGAAGTCAGCTGTTTGTGTGACTCAAGTGCGACTCGAGTCCCCATCTCTGACACACAGTCAAACATTAATATATGCAAAAGTTAATATCAGATAATTTTAGAATATCCAGTTTAGGATGTACCGGATATTCTTCAGTTCTATGCAAAACAGAAATACGACAAATAGAATATCAGATCTCTGTCAAAAATGAATGACAAAAAAAAGAAGAAGCTTTTTTACATAGTTGTGTTTGACACATGAAAACTCAGTTAACCACATGTCCCCACATCACGTCCTTGAGTTTGAGGGTTTGGACCTGGACAGTCCTTCATGTGGAAGTGGACCGAGGTGTGGGAACCCTGCTAATGTTAGCTGGGCTGCCGTTGTGTCGGTCTGTAGGTGATGTGTGTGTTTCCCTCTTTCCCAGCAGCCTCTCCTGCGCTGGAGGGCGTGAGTGAAGACGAGCCGTGGGTCTGGCCCGAGGAAGAGCCCAGCGCCGAGGACTACAGGCAGGCTCAGCGCGTCGAGACGTACATCATCGGGCTGATCCAGCGCCGCTCGCCTCATGCTAGGCCCAGCAAACCTCCGCGCACTAGCACGGGTCCCGAGGCCAGAGTGATCCGGCAGAGTAGCGTTAGCCGGGCCGGGATTCGCTCCACGTCTCTGGATTTTCCCAGCAGCAGCGAAGCGGAATCACCACAGCGTGCCTACACACACACACACTCCTCCGACGAGCTGGTGAACGCGCAGTACATCCCAGCGCAGCCGTGCCGCGCTCTAGCGCACAAACCCGAGAGGAAGCCGAAGAAGTGCCGTTTCACGGAGGACAAGATCGCCGCGAAGAAGCCCGGACGAAAAACCTGCCGCGCGCAATCCGAGAACAACCTAGAGCGCAAGTACAACACGGCGGAGAGGAACGTCACGGCTAAAATACGCCGCGGATCCGCTCACCGGCGCTGGCGCTCCACGCTAGAACTGAGTCAGGACGAAGCCGAGCAGCCAATCAGACGCTCCCGTAAGCCCCGTGTGTACCGAGTCGAGTCCGAGTCGAGTCTGAGCGAGGCCGAGTCGCGCGGCTCCAGCTCGCGGTCCAGCGACTCAGACGGGAGCAGCGGATTGGTCTGGCCACAGCAGCTGGCGCCGCCCACGCAGCCTGGAAACAGCAGCGGATTGGTCTGGCCACAGCAGCTGGCTCCGCCCCCTCTGCTGGCTCCGCCCACTCCGCCTGGAAACGCCCTGCAGCCCAAAGCCTTCGTGAAGATCAAGGCGTCGCACGCGCTCAAGAAGAAGATCCTGAGGTTCAGAACTGGGTCCCTTAAAGTCATGACCACCGTATGAGACACACACACACACACACACGTTTACTTGGCTATCTCAATGGGGGCTCTCCATAGACGTAATGGTTTTTATACCATCCAAACTGTTTATTCTCCTTACACTAACCTGACTCCTACACATACCCCTCACACACACACACACATTTGTTTGGACCTCCATAGACGTAATGGTTTGATACCGTCCAAACTGTATATTCTGTCCCCTTACCCCTCTTTCTGTCATTTTTATTCGTTTCTTGAATCCATACATTTCCTGGAGAAGCGACATGTGACACACTTGTTCTTCCGGATAAACCCTTCGAGAAGCATCATGTCACAAGGAGGTCCTAATGCACAAAAATGGACAAACACAAGACAACACAATAACTACAGTAATCCCCTCATTCAAAACAACAAACACACCACTAGGGCTGTGCGGTATAGCTAAAACATTATCACGATATAATGTTTCATTTAGTTCGGTACCAATAAATTTTTTTTATAACCTTTTTTTTTAAGACAAGTAGAAAAGTTTGAATTTAAACCACATTTTTATTATTTATTTATTCACATTATTAAGGAGAAATTTCCTTGATTTAAACAAAAAAAAATGATGTGTGAGTTTTCCTACATCTTAAAACTTTCAGTTTTATAAATGGGAGGTAATCTTTGAAAGACAAACAAATAATGTTTTGGCCATCACATTAAAAATAAATACGATACGATAATAAATTTAAATACGATAATATTAGAGTTTTGAAGTGCTGGAAAAGGACGTGTGACGTACTTGAGAGCGTTTCACTGTTTACTGGGAGTAAAGCCGTTGGGAATGTGTGATGGGTGGACTTGAGCTGGCTCCTCACGGCACAGCTGCTCCTGGTGTCTGATCGAGATCTACGGTTAATAACGGAGAAACGCTTCTCGCTAGATCTCGCAGTGATGTGACGAATACAGATGCGTCCTTTACTGGATCTCTTAGCGCTGTGTAGAGACTGTCGCTTGATCACGATCGGCTCACGCTGATCACCGACACTGATGATCAAGCTGAGCGTGAAGCACTAAATAATGTGTAGCGCAGTTTTCGTTCCGCTTTCATTGCGTTTGCCATTGATGTCGGGCGACGTTGTGGTGGCCATCTTTAACTTCACAGTCGTCTACTGGATCCCGCACCTTCAGTCATGATGTGGAGAGCGGGTCATGGTCGCCGAGCATCGAGAGACGGCGCGTGAGTGCTTTGACGAGGTAACGACTCGGACGCGATATGAAAACAGCCCCTGAGATCTACAGCCGGTGCGCGCTTCTTAATAACAATATCATTCGCTAACATTTTTTATATCGTTACAGACAATATTGTACTGTCGATAAATACCGATACCGTTTTATTGCGCAGCCCTACACAACACTACTAAACCTACCCATCACACACACACACACTAACCTGACTCATCACAAACACACAGATCACTTTGGTCTTGTCAATGGAACCATTTGGCAACTTTTAAAAAGTAAACTTTCAGTTCAGATTCTTATTGGCAAAACGTAACGTTGACCCACTATTTGGCTCGCGACGAGTGTGTTTCCGGTCCAGCTGGATCCGGAGCGAGAACAGGGCGGGTTCGAGGATGAGCGACTCACAGAAACCCTCGACCCGCCGTTACGCCACTCACGGCTGAAGATGCTTAAAAAATGAAAAAAGCCAAAACGTCGTCTACATTGACCAACTCTTTAAAGGGATACTTAAAGGGAAATAGGCTCATATTTTACCACTCCCCCAGAGTTAAACTGTTGGGTTTGACCGTTTCCGAATCCATTCAGCCGATTTTCTGATATTTCGAAGATTATCAGTAACCAGACAGTTTCTGGTCTCATTGACTACCATAGTATATTTTTTTTTTCCTACTATGGTAGTCAATGATACCAGAAACTGTCTGGTTACTGATAATCTTCGAAATATCAGAAAATCGGCTGAATGGATTCGAAAACGGTAAAACCCAACAGTTTAACTCTGGGGGAGTGGTAAAATATGAGCCTATTTCCAAAAAAAGTGGAGTATCCCTTTAAAAGAGCAGAGTAAACACCCGTCACGACGATGATGATGATGTCACATGTGTAAATGTCTGTAAATGTTCCCTGTATTTATGAACGTAACCTGTAAATAAAGACCTCTTCGTAAAGATGTGCTCTCGATCTGTTACTGTCGCGATAAAACGGAGGTAGCGGCATCTTTTCTGACGTATTGTGAATAATAATAAATGTAGGGCGGAGCTTGGTTGTATGTAACGCGACGTGGGTGTGGCTCTCATGTCTATGCAAATTAGCGTGAGCTTCCAGGGGTGGAGTTAAACCCACTACGTGATTCCTGAATCCAGCGGACGTCACCATTTTGACATTACAAGGTCACAAAAATAAAACATGCACAGATTAAGATCTATAATATGCTTTTTAAAAAACAGCATTTTTATTTAATGTCACTTTAAACAGGAAATTGTACTTTAGTACTGAGTAATATTAACATCGGATTAGGGTTAGTTGCATGTAATTATGCATAATTTACTGTTACTTTGGCAAGTTTTTGCACGCAATTATTTTTTAAAGTAAATTTCACATTTGGAATTAAGTAAACTCTACTTAACTAAGTTTAGTGGAATTAACAAAGAAAATGAGTAATTTTACCTTGGCTAGTAAAAGGCTGGGTGACGGAAAATTTTGATGGATCAATTGTGTGTTTTCAGTGTGTCATTTTGAGTAGAAAATGAACTTTAAATGTCACAAAATGGCCAGTTACTGATCAAAGCCGTGACGAATCAGCGAAAAGTCAACCTCATTACTTATTCAAGGCCCAGTGCATGATGGGAACACCAGTATCAGAAAAGTTCAGAATTTTACTTACTTTTATTGATATTTACACTTTAATTTCTACACGCTTGAATTAAGTACTAATGTAGAATTTAATGTACTTACTATAAAATTAATTTACTGTAAAATAGTTATATTAGTTTACTTTAGAATGTTCTATAAAAAGTAGAATTTTCTTAGGTTTTATTCCATTCTTGCCCAAAGTAACTTTTTCATGTAGAAATTAATTTTTTTTATTTATTTATGTTGTATTTACTTCACCGCAAAAACTATTTATCCGTGTAAAGATCAACGAATAGAGATTGGCGAGTCGTGCTGATGCATGATGGGATCTCTCTGCGAGGGGACAGCTCTTGTGCATGTGTGTGTGTGTGTGTGTGTGTGCGCTGGATAACGAGCTCCAGCTGGAGCAGGACTTCTGCTCGCCGGTTATTAGTGGCACAGACACACAGGCCCATTCACAGACCCTGGAGGATTCTGGGAGTTTGCATAGTTGGAGTCACATGACTGTTCTCTCTCACTGATAGACTGTCTCAGAGTTATATATATATATAACGGTTAAAGAACATTATCGAGGCGTTCTCAGATCGTTGAATGTTTTTTTTTAAAGTTACTCGTTCCCGAACGCTCGAGAACAGTCAAAAGGAACATCCCATAATGTTTGAGGAGTGTGTCCGTGCTCACATAACCCAAAAGCGTTCAGAAATATTGTTTTCATAACTTAATGAGTTTTTTAGTTTTCTTTATAGATTTTATATTAATATTTATTTTGTTCTGCTTTCAGTTTAGTTCAAGTTTTAGTAGTTTTGTGTTTGTGTTCATTTGCTGTACTGGAGTAAGATCCGGCCTGATCGAGTCTGATTTTCTGATGTTCTCGTTTTCAGCACACACTCGATATCTCCAGCCGTTCTGCGGCTCCAGGAAGTGTGTGTTGATTTGAGAACGTCGTCTGTGCTGGAACTCCACACAGAAACACTGATTTTGTGATTTTTAACCAGCATAAACCAGTCAGAACCAGTATGGAGTTCAGGATCATGCCGGAGGAGAGAGAGATGAAGAGGAACGGAGAGCAGCGAGTGTGTGTGTGTGTGTGTGTGTGTGTGTGTTCATCTGGAGCTGGTTACAGAGGCACGTTCCTTCTGGGCCAAGAACCTGGAGTATTTCCGGAGGGAGCGAGAGGAAGACGAGGGAGTTAGAGGAGAAGGAGTGTATTAACCACATCTGGACTCCATTACAGGAGACGCGATCTCACAGACCAAACACACACACTCCAGATCTGATGAAGGACCTACGCCTGGACACACACACACACACACAGACAGATCTGCAGCTCTGTGTTGTTTCTGCTCACGGCGCGGATGAGATTCTCCAGACCGCCAGAAGGACAGCCTCCGCCTGATAGGGTACACACACACACACACTCCAGATATAATAAAGGACCTGCACACACACACACACACACTTAGTCTTACACACACTCACTCACACACACACTCCAGATCTTATAAAGGACCTTCACACACATACTCAGACACACTTACTTGCACATCATTCACTCACACACACACACACACTCCAGATGTAATGAAGGACCTCACACACACACACACACTGCTGCTGGTCGAGTTAGACGAGCTCATACCTCAGTCTGGGATCTTGGCCAGACAACGAGAGGATCACATGCTTCCACTCTTGCTGTTAGTGTGTGTCCTGAGCTCAGTGTGTGTGTGTGTGTGTGTGTGTGTGTGTCCTGAGCTCAGTGTGTGTGTTCCCAGATAACACTAACATGATCAGGAATGTTTTGCTAGCATTCCCATTCAGTTATGAAAACATTACTTCTCTGAACATTCAAAATGTCCATCTTTTGTTTATGTGAAATCTAAGGGAACATTTCATTCTAAATGAACTGGTTTCATTCCAGTCAAAAATTATTTAATATCGCAGAATTTAGCTAAATACGTTAAACCAAAAAAACAATCAGGTATAATAGCTCTAATAGCTCTAGTGACAGCTGTGTCTGAAACCGCTCACTCGTTCACTCATTCACTAATCCCTATATAGTGTATGGCATTTGAGTGCACTATATCTGCAAGGAGTGAAGGAGATGAAGTGAGTGAATTCGGACGCTGACGTTTACACTGTGCGTCGGAGAGTTGGAGCTGTCGCAGAAAAGGCTTCGTCACGCATACTGATAAAACTCCTTTTATCTTACATTACCTACTTATAAAAATAATATTAACAACAATACAATCATAATGACTTTATTTTGTAATTATACCTCCGTGCCAGCTTTGTAGTTTCATCGACTGAAATTGTACATTAACTCTCACGTTCACAGATGACGTGTCGTCGAGCGCCCTCCGGCGACCGTTATTATGTTCAAAACGACGATTAACGGACATTTTTCAAATCCTCCACTGGATGTAATGTAATCTCTGGTTTAAACTTGCTCGCGCCGAACTTTCATGCGCGCTCAGTTCTCTCCGCATTGGATTGTGGGAAATAGGGCTTCAGCGAGTGTACATCGAATGTACACTCGAATTCAGAGAGGATTGTGGGTAAAAGTAGTGAATGAATGTAGGGAATGATGTCGTTCACTCAGAATTCGGACACCACTACAAAATGGCCGACACCCGATATAGTGCACTATTTAGTGGATAGGGAGCGATTTCAGACACAGCTCTAGTCACTCACGCTTTAACCCCGCCCTCTCGGTGGAAATGGGAGGGGCCTGTCGATGATTGACAGTTTGACTGGTTTCACAAATCAATTTTGCTGTATGACTTACAGCTTATGAAAATCTTTTGATTTGGGGTTTTTCATAATCTGTAATCCATAATCATCACAGTTATAACAAATTTCAGTTTTTAAGTTGAATTACTGAAAAAAATGAACTTTTGCACCATATTCTCATTGTTCGAGTTTCACTTGTAAAATGATGTTTCTAAACAAGATCGTTGTTCCATGCAGAGAAGATTTCTCGACTTTCACCAGCCATGTTGAATTTATGTTATAATATGAATATAAAACACGTAACAGAGGAGAATGGGATTCTGGGGGAGGCGAACGGGTTATGGTGGAGCCGTGGACACAGGCCTGGGGTCAGACATGTTTAGTCTACATCCGTGTGTGTGTGTGTGTGTGTGTGTGTGTTTAGCTATCTAACGCATTTAACGGTTTGTTATTATTGTGCATGCTTGGCTTCTCACAGTAAACACAATCTACATCTGATCTCAGATCAGGCTCTTGTTTAACATGTAGATGAGGAGGATTCGTGCTTGTGTTGTACTGCCCCCTTGTGCTCACACACACACACACACGCTCATGTTTTATCGTTCATAATGTCTAGAAACAGTGACACAAATCCAGTGTCAGACGTTATAAGTGGTTTATTGAGCCCAGTCGTGCAGGGATACTGGTCACACTGGACGTGTGTGAGATGAAACACACACTCTGAACGCTGACCTCAGACCTGTGGCTGAAATATCAAGGCGGACTGTGGTTCTATAATATATAACACACACACACCGCAAAAATGCCCTAACAGTATTTCTGTCTTGTTTTCCAGTACTAATATCTAAACATTCTTTTGTTTTCCAATTAAATTAGTTTTATAATTTTAATATTTTGTATTTTGGGGGGTTTTATGGTACATTATTATAGGCTACTTATGCAGTATTTCTAATCCATTTATTCACTTTTTGATCATAGAGGTGAGAATTTTTTCCGTCTTACACTGGTGATCGAGTGCTTGGATCACAAGGTCCAAAAGACAGTTTCAGTGCAAACTGTTCAAAGGGCTTTAAACGATTCCAGACGATGAATAAGGGTCTGATCAAGCGAAACGAGCGCTCATTAAAAAAAAAAAGTTTAAGTTTTATAAGCTCAAATGCTCGCCTTGCTCTGTTCTGTGATGCGCGTTCGTGACTCTCCTGTTCGAACTCGTTCATCAAAATGAACAAATCTTTTCCTGAGTCAACTCGTTCATTTCGTTCGTTGAATGAACCAAATGACACGAAAAAAGGTTTGTTCATTTTGATAAACGAGCTTATAAAACTTAAACTTTGTTATTTATGTATGAAATGATGGCTCGTTACGCTTGATAAGACCCTTATTCATCGTCTGGAATCGTTTAAAGCCCTTTGAACAGTTTGCACTGAAACGGTCTTTTGGACCTTGAACCGTTTGGTTCCCATTGAAGTCCATTATATGGAGAAAATCCTGGAATGTTTTCATCAAAAACCTTTATTTCTTTTCCACTGAAGAAAGAAAGACGTGGACATCTTGGATGACATGGGGGTGAGTAAATTATCAGCAAAAGGTTTTTAGGTGAACTATTCCTTTAATTTAAAGAGCAAACAAGTTTATTTTTCTGACCCTATTCTGGCAGATATTAGTTTTTAAATGTTTGTTTTCATGTTGATGCATTTTTCATCCAGACTTTTGCTTCTTCTCCAGTAAATGTGTCTTGATTTCAGAATCTTTAGATATTAGTGCTGGAAAACACGACTGAAATGTTGAGAAAACACATTATTTTTGTATTTGTAGTTTAAACACTTTGATATCACACTGATCATACTTTGATTTCCCGGTTATCAGAAAGTGTGGAAATGCTTTTATTTAGCATTTTTCTTATTGTATATCAGTCTTACAATTGCAGTGAAATATTGAACTAACACATTCATCCAAAGAACATCTAGATCTTCAGTCTGGCTTACGTGAGTCACATGATCTATGACACCTAGAGGTTAGTCGCATGTATCTGTTCACAAGACTAAAACTTTTCATTTCGGCCTATAACTAGGTTTAAATCCCATATTTGTGAGTTGTGACAGTGCCGGTGTCGTTTCTCTGACGCTGTCCGCCTCAGCCGGGGAAACAGGGCGGAGCCGCGCGTGATGACGTGGGCGAGGGGGGCGGAGTCAGCCTGCTGTAGTCGATCTGGATGCTGGGAATGGATGAACGTTTAAGGCCAGGAGGAACTCTGGGACAGAAGGAGAAGGGGTCTCGTTTATTCACATGTGAAGACAGTTAAAGTGATGGCGGCGGATCCGGTGTAACGGCGGTACTGACCCGTCCTCGTGAGGCTGAGCGCCGCCGGCGGGGTCACAGGGGTCATGGAAGGGGTCCGCCTCCTCACGGCTGCTCTCCTCCGACGGCTCCACCATGATGGACGGCAGTCGCTCCTTCAGGCTCTTCGTTTCCGACGCCTCGGGGAATATCTGCGGGTCAGAGGTCATGCAGTGTTCAGATGAGCAGGTTCTGGGGAAACGCTTTAAAGATCAAGGTAAAGTCTCCTAAACTGTGGCCTTTGGCTTTTGGGTTGGTTAGTTGTAGGACTAGTGTTCGACCGATATATCGGGCCGATATTTGCGGTTTTTACGTGTGTCGGAACCGGCCGACACGCGACAGCTGCGTTCGCCGATAGTTTTTCCCGGCACAGAAAAATTTACTTTTTGAGTTACTTTTATTTCATTTATGCTTAAATATTTATTTTCAGCACTGAACTTTTTTTTTTGTTCAACCACATGTTTTTAATATTTGTTAAAAATTGTTTATCTACTTGTTCTTGTTCTACCTTACGTGTTTTACTATTTGTTAAATATTGTGTTTTTTTAAAGTTAAATAAATGTTACTTTTGTTAAATCGAGACCTGTAACATCTGTTAACATCATGTCATTTTTATGAAGTAAATTTAGCAGGCAAAATCTATCGGCTCAAGAAAATCGGCAGCCCGTATCGGTCATCAGCTAAGGCTGATGGGAAAAAAAATCGGTATCGGGATCGGCACTAAAACATCCATATCGATCGATCCCTATGTAGGACATTTCCTTTATTTTGATATTCATCAGTATTATTGATCTCCTGCACTGACTGCATTATATGAGAACTGAGCTGGACGATGACATCACGGTTTCTCCAGTGATGTCATCGTTCTCTCTGTAAAGCTGCTGTGAACGCGCTGTAGAAGTGAAGCTGACGTGACTAAAAGAAAGATGCGATTCTGAACAGCTGAAATGTTAGAAGAGCTGAGCTTGGTTTCTGACCAATCAGAGCAGAGCAGCTCTCAGAGAGGCGGGGCTTAGAGAGACTGAATCTACACAGAAGCGTTTCAGACACTGAGAGGAAGAGCAGACGCTGAAGTGGAGATCATGAGGACATTACAGTGTTGTTGAGCTTGGATGAAGGTGAACCTGTTGTAGGAGACGCCGAAACAACATTAAGAGCCTTTAAAACAGCAGAATAGAGGCACTTTAAATGCTTTATAAGCTTTTCTGAGTGGATCACTCCTTTCGTTCGCCTTCTGCAATCTGAACAGACAAACAAAGAACTCTAATGAATATCTAAATGTATATTTATTCAGCATAATGATACTTGCATCTGATGGCTTTTATTGTTATAAAATGATTCTGACCAGACAGGTTATTCATCTTTTCTCACAAAATTACTGCGATCTGCCCCACAGACTCGTGTAGAAGTGTAGATTTTCACTGTTTGCATATTTGCTTGTATAATATATGAGTGAGATGCAAATAAAATCTGCATGACATAATGTAGGTTATACTTTAGTGAAGGTGTCGTTTTTACAGTGTAATTATATATTTTAGTACGTTAGTGAGTAATAATTATGAACAAGATGTACTTACTATAGGGTTAGGGTTTGGTTGAGGGTTAGTTGCATGTAATTACGCATGATTTACTGTTATTACTGTGAAACGGTACAAGGACACTGTAAAATAAAGTGTTACCAATATGTTTTTGTGCTATTTCAGGGAAATTAGTGTTATATACAAACTATTTCTTAATAATAATAATAATAATGATTAGATGTGTTTGATGCTTAGCATTTCAAGCAGTAGTTTCACAAAAACCTCCAACAAACATGAACTCACAGTGAAACACAAACTGAGACCAATGATTGCTCTAATATAAGGTGTGTGTGTGTGTGTGTGTGTGTGTGTGTGTGTGATGTTATTCTCTAATATAAGGTGTGTGTGTGTGAGTACCTGATATGATGTGTGTTCTCTCCTCTGCTCCATGCTGGAGTCCTGTGGACCTGTGGACATCACTACACACACACACACACACACACACAGAGAGAGAGAGAGAGAGAGAGAGAGAGAGAGAGAGAGAGAGTTTCTCTCCTCATCCACACACAGATAAACCTGCTCAAACGGTCCATGAGCTTCAGCGCTTCACATGAGTGTGTGTGTGTGTGTGTGTGTGTGTGTTTGCAGTGTCCGCTTTAATCCCTGTAAGATCCTAATGTGGGAACAGGTGTCATGCGTCACTAAATGACACTGCAGGACAGAAAGTGTGTGTGTGTGTGTGTGTGTGTGTGTGTGTGTGTGTTCTCTTCCTCTGATGAGCCTCTCACCTGTGTGTGTGTGTGTGTGTGTGTGTGTGTGTGTGTGTGTGTGTGTGTGTGTGTGTGTGTGTGTGTGTGTGTGTGTGTGTGTGTGTGTGTGTGTGTGTGTTCTGTCCCTCTGATGAGCATTAGCAGGTCGAGAGCAGGATTAGCGGCTCTGGAGATTAAAGGTTCATTGTCACACACACTTCCCGCACAGGGCTCGACACGCTGAACACACACACACACACACACACACACACATAGCACTGAAATAGAAACATTACTTAACTAAAGTAATAATAAAGAAAAGACACAAGCATTATTTTTTTTAATTAATATTAGAAGTCAATAATTATTGCAATAAAAAAAATTCAGAATTACGAGACCACTAAAAGTGGTCTCATAAACCAATTGGTCTTGTAATGCTGGTATGTAAACCTGAAAATTGGTCTCATAAACCACTTATGCCAACACACACACACACACACACACACACACACACACACACGCGAAGGACCTGTCGCTTGTGTGATGATGATTCCTTTATAGGAACTGCTCATCTAATTGTATTATGTAAAAGTGTAGCCTCTTCATGCTGATGGTTGTGTGTGTGTGACTGAAGGTGTGTGTGGTTGTGTAACACACCACTAGAGGGAGACATATGATCGCACACAGGCTGGTTTGCGGGTTCTCAACACAGAAATAATCCCAAACCTGATTCCCCTCATGAACAGACCGACTAGTGCAAAAACCTTTACTGCATAGATGTTTCGCAGTATGTAAATTTCGCATGTAAAAGCTGTCATGCATTGGATGTCATCGGATGCCCGCTTCGTGTTGTACAAAGATTCTTTTGGGGAAAATGTCTGTCTGCTTGTTTAACACATTTATTTTTGTGATTGAAAGGGTTTAATGAAGCTTCTGCCAATTTTTAAATGATATGACATTTTCAGTTGATTCACTCTGGGCGTGGCTTGTGTGATCTGCGTGGAGTGGGCGTGGCTTGTGTGACATTCGTGGGCGGGCGTGGCTTGTGTGATCTGCGTAGAGTGGGCGTGGCTTCTGTTTCTTGTCAGGTTAGCTTGGATCAGTTAACCATGTGATTTTGAGTTGACATGTGGACGAACATGATCCTGAGTGAATATCCCACTGCATTTCCATTCAGCTGGTGGACTGAAAAGAAGCTAATGTGCATTCTATAAATCTATACATTTATATAGGTCCTCTTGTTGTGTTTTGGCAGTACCGCATGTGTGTGTTACCGCTGTTAGCAGCAGTGTGAACATTCATGACTTTATTGTCCTCTGAAAGTGTGTAAAATAATCAAGTTTATTGAAGACAGAGAGACGACATGCAGCAGATCTCACAGCTCGTGTTCAGAAGGCAGAGATTAGATAGCATGGGGAATAGTATGCATTATGCAACACAAACATAAGTATGTTACATTATTCTCATCTATGCTGCATGTTTAATTCCTCAAGTGCTAAAATATAGGGATGCACGATATATACATCGGATCGGCCGATATATGTTCATTTTTAATGTTATCATTATTGGCTCGATAGGAAAATGTGTCCGATATATTATAGCTGATAAATTATGTATCGTTTCCTTCTGCTGAGACTCTTCAGATGCGCACTGTTCAGCATGATGATTATGAACTGCTTGAAATATGATTGAAATCACTAGAAAAACGGGAAACGCAGTTCAGCGCAACATGTGCATATCGGCTTCATAACATTATAATGAGAACGTCATAATTGTGTGTTTGGGACGTGGCTTTTAATGATGAGACTTTTGTTTTTGTAATCAGGCTCTCAAAATTATAAAAATGTGGATTTAATTTACGACCATTATATCGGTTATTGGCTTTCAAATATAAAGAATTATCGGTTATCCACTTTCAAATACAAGGAATTATCGGTTATCAGCTTTCAAATATAAATAATTATCGGTTATCGACTTTCAAATATAAAGAATTGTCGGTTTTCGGCTTTTAAATACAAATAATTATCAGTTATCAGTTTTAAAATATAAAGAATTATCGGTTATCAGCTTTCAAATATAAAGAATTATCGGTTATCCACTTTCAAATAGAAGGAATTATCGGTTATCAGCTTTCAAATATAAAGAATTATCGGTTTTCGGCTTTTAAATAAAAATAATAATCATCAGTTATAGGTTTTAAAATATAAAGAATTATCAGTTATCGCCTTTCAAATGTAAAGAATTATCGGTTATCACCTTTCAAATATAAAGAATTATCGGTTATCGGCTTAAAGAATTATCGGTTATCGGCTTTCAAATATAAAGAATTATCGGTTATTGCCTTTCAAATATAAAGAATTATCGGTTATCGGCTTACAAATATAAAGAATTATCGAATATCAGCTTTGATATATAAAGAATTATCGGTTATCGCCTTTCAAATGTAAAGAATTATCGGTTATTGGCTTTGAAATATAAAGAATTATCGGTTATCGCCTTTCAAATGTAAAGAATTATCGGTTTTCGGCTTTAAAATATAAATAATTATCGGCTATCGCCTTTCAAATGTAAAGAATTATCGGTTATCGGCTTTCAAATATAAAGAATTATCGGTTATCTGCTTTCAAATATAAAGAATTATTGGTTATCGCCTTTCAAATATAAAGAATTATCAGTTATCGGCAAAAATGTTCATATCGGTGCATACCTACTAAAATAAATAACAAAATATTACATGTCATACCCAGCTCACAAAAATATGTTCAAAGAACCCATTCAATTATGAAAACGTTATTTCAAAATGTTCAAAAATCATGGGAAAGTTACTTTTGAATGTTCTTCCGAAACAAGTAGTAACATAAAAAAATGTAAAAACTGAAAGTTTCAGGAAAAAACCCTCCTTGAACGATGTTTTGTGTGAGAACATTATTAAAGAGCAGAAAACGTTGAATGATCGTTCTATTGACGTTACTGTAAGAGCGTTTGTGGGTCCCTTTAAGAGTCTGCGTGAGTGTTTGAGGCTGGAGTTGTTCACATGTAGAGGCCGGCGGAGGGATACAGCACGAAGGGCCCGATGCCGTGGTTCGGCGGGTTCTCCAGCAGGTGTTTGCGGTAGTAGCGGCGCAGGGCCGGGCTGCTCGGGTGCTGCTGCCTCACGTGGAGGAAGTATTCGTCGGGTCGGCTCGAGGTGAAGCCGCAGTCCTCGCACACGAAGATCTTGGAGCGCCGCTGCCGGTACGCGTACTGTTGCCGCACGCCGTGGATCTTCCTCAGGTGAGACTCCAGAGAGCAGCGCTGAGTGAAGGCCTTCTCACACAGGTCACACCTGTACGGACGGATACCTGCACACACACACACTCAGAAATCAGAACACACAGCTGTTTTTGCAGCTCACAGCTCATTTACATTTAAAGGGACAGACACAAAAACTGTGCTTTTTTGCTCGCCCTCAAAAAGTGATCAATTTAACATGATATATAATGGGTTATTTTGAGGTAAAACTTCACACACACACACTTTGGGGACTTATTTTACTTCTTGCACCCGTTTCCATGCTGAATGGTGTTCTCACCGGTGTGTGTGCGCATGTGTCTCTTGAGGTCGAAGGTGTCATTGAAGCCTTTCCCGCAGTATCTGCACGGGTGTCTCTTGATCAGACTGTGACACTTCAGGTGTCGCGTGAGCATGCGCTGCAGCGGGAACGCTTTATGACACACCGAACACAGAAACTCCGACGAGCCGCCGCATTCACGCGCCGCCTGGATCACAGGAACACATGCATGTGCAGGTCAACACTCAATGCTCTCTGAAACAAGTTGCATTTATAAACACACACATTTACATACACAGCTGAGAGAGCCGAACACCACTGCACACACACACACACACACACACACACACACACACACCTGAGAGAGCCGAACGCCAAATCAAATAGGATATTTTTTGCATCCAAAAAACAAACGAGTCAACACCTCTTTCCAACATAAATCGTCAATATCAGAGTATCTTGCAATTAATGATTTAACAGGATGAATGGTATGCAATTTTTTTTTTTAATTATTTCTTTGGGTTTATTATTAATGCAATATTTAAGGATTAACCAAGTAGTCTTCCAATTAATATTACCAATAATAGATATTGTACAAATACGTTTATTATTGCATTTTTTTATCAATCAATTTAATGCCATTTAAAATTAATTTTGGATTTATCATTAATGTGGAGTTAAATTGAATATGACTTTTGATAAGATGAATCAGAGTAGGGTAAATAGCTTTAATGTCAGAATTAAATTCTTTAAAATGCACAGGAAAACCATGGATTCACTTAAATTGTTTGCATGTTAAAATATTTCCATAATTATCATATTCATAAGATGATTAATATCCCTGTTAAACCCTTAAATAAGGATGTATTGGTTGCGTTGTAACCAATAGTTTACGTCTTTTTTAATCTAGAGCAGAAGTTTAAACTTTGACATCTTGTTTTCCTCATACTAGTAATGATGACAGTGACGCAAACTGGACAAACCGGGAATCTTTTTTTCAATGTCCCTTTAGGGGCTCCGTAATATCTCATATTCTCCTGATGTCTTGTACCGTTAAACATAGAATAACGCGGATGAATATGCATATCAAGCCAAGTCAAGTCACATTTATTTATATAGCGCTTTTTACAATATAGATCATATCAAAGCAGCTTCACAGTGTTAACATGAAAGTAATAGGCTACAACACAGATCTATTGTTGAACATTAAATGTCCCCAACTAAGCAAGCCAAAAGCAAGGCAACAGTGGCAAAGAACCAAAACTCCATCAGGCGATTGATGGAGAAAAAAACCTTGAGAGAACCCAAAGATGTAAATGATATGCAATATGTAAATGTTATGCAGATGAGGATGTGTATAGTAAATGAGGTGTGTGAGCTCATATATGGTTATCTCGGGGAGGAGACGCATGTTCACACTCTTCCTCTGACCGGGGTTATATCATGGGTTATATCCGGTTATAACGGGGATTCGCGCAGGCTCTGGCGTTCACACGCTTTATAACTCTCAATACTTCTGGCGTTCGGGCGCACGAACACTACTGAGGATCACACACACACACACACACACACACACACACAGTTTATAAACGAGAGCCCTGATAATAACTCTCAACGTGACTGGATGAACTGTTCGTATCCGTGTGTGTGTGAGGTGTGCCGTTCACCTTGTTCAGTGGTGCTGATGTTAAAGCAGCGGGAGGAAGAGGAAGAGGAAGAGGAAGAGAACTCTGGGACGCCGGAACTCTCTCCATCCCATAATCCTCTCTGCGGCGCTCCAGAGCTTCAGAAGCAGGTGTGTGTTTATGGACGCGCTCCGACACCGATTCCAGACCAGCAGCACTGTGTGTCTGTACAGCTACTGAAACACACACACACACACACACATTAGATCACTACAGAACATCTCAAATTAAATGATTTTTGCTCTAGTGTTGCTCATGATACTTTTTTCCTTAGTTTTTTTTTTTTTTTTTTTACTTTTCAGCACAAAAAAATATAATAAGATAAAATAAGAATAGTTTTTTCATTAATCTTTTTATTGAATTTTCTCGCTTTTTTTGTTTGGTTTTCAGTACAAAAAAATTTAAAATATAGCCTAATAAAATAATTTCTGTAAGGTATTTTGTTTGGTTTTCAGCACAGCTTTTTCTTTTTAATATAATAAAAACATTTTGTCATGCTGAAAATTTTTTTCAGCACAAATAAATGATTAAAATATAATAAAATAAAATGGTAAGTTTTTTTGTTTGTTTTTAGCACAAAAAAATCTACATCGTTTGGTTTTGTTTTAGGCATATAGCACAATTTTTTCTCAGTTTTTTTTGAAAAATGTTTTTTTCAGCACAAATAAATAGGCTTATTAAAATCATAATGTATGTCATTCATTAAACATAATTGAATGTAACATTCCATCTTTCTTCAAACATTATAGAACATTACATTGTATCATTCTTCAAACCAAACATTATGGAACGTTAATGTCACAGTCTGTCTTGTCTCCGCCTCTTCACTACACTTCCCAGCATCCCTCATGTTTTCGCACCTACCTGTCATCATCATTGACACCTCGGCGTAGTTAATCACCTTCATTTGTGTCTTCTGGTTTCTGTTCATTAGTGTCTGTATTTAGTTCCTTGTCGGTTGTTAGTTGTATTCAACATGTGTGTTATTCTGAACGTCCTCCTGCCTGTGTGTACCTGTGATTTATATTAGTAAAAATGTCTGATTTTGAGCCTTTTGACTGTGAGTCTTCTTCAACCCACACCACGCCGTTACAGAACAACCGACCGCCCTAAATGGACGACAGGGTAAACATTATAGTCCTGGCCCAGGAGATCCAAGTTCTCCTAACATTTTCTGTAGGCTTTCGCCGTCTTGCTGCCCACAGCGACCTCAACGATGAGAGACTGTGTACTTGAGATCTGTTCCGGATCGGGGACACTTTTAACCAGCGTATAGACCTCCCGGACACCACTGGACTGGACTGGAGAGTGACCGTCATCCAGTGTCTGGAGAGTGTCGGGCCTCGAACCGGGACACAGCCAGCCCTAACAGATCGTCACATCATGCCTGATCACCACGCCATGCTGGATCACGCCACCGCTGGTCCAGTCCCGTCCAGTCCAGAGCCTCCACTGCTGGTCCTGTCCAGTCCAGAGCCTTCATCGCTGGTCCTGTCCAGTCCAGAGCCTCCACTGCTGGTCCTGTCCAGTCCAGAGCCTTCATCGCTGGTCCTGTCCAGCCGAGCCGAGCCGAGCCTTCATCACTGGTCCCGTCCAGTCCAGAGCCTCCACCGCTGGTCCTGTCCAGTCCAGCCGAGCCTTCATCACTGGTCCCGTCCAGTCCAGAGCCTGAATTCCCACCCAGCCTCCCTCACCCACCTCCTCCCATATGCCTCTCTACCTTTCCTCCACAACCCCTCTGCTCCTGTATCCACCCCTGAGGAGGTGGAGTCGCCGAGGATCTGCCTGCCAGCAACGTCTTCAGGGTCGGTGGATCCCCGGTCTCTGCCTACAACCTCCTCAACCAGGACTCTACCTCGGCCCTTCACTCCATCTGTTCCACCTTGGCTCTTACCTCCCTCAGCTCCACCATGGCCCCTCAGTCCCCCAGTTCTGGCAGGCTCCCTCGTCCCCCTGGATTCACTTTTGTCCCTCGTTGGCCTTCCCTCACCTCTGGACTCCTCTCCTCTGTTGGGCTCCTCACTCCCTCTGTCTCCACCGTGTCCTTCTGTGCCCCTTCTACACTTCAGTCGCCTGAACCTTCGGTGTCACCATGTCCCTCCAGTCCCTCAGCATCACCTGGTCTCGTCTGCTCTACAGCTCCACCCTGGTCTCCTCTCCCACCTTCTCCGCACCCGTCAGTCGGCCCCCTGTCTTCTGCCCTGCCCCCTCCATGGCTCCTCCCTCCGTCGTCTCCGCCCTGGCCGCCTGCACTGCCTGATCTGCCCTGGTCCCTCTCTCCCTCTGCTGTCTACGGCGCGAGGACGTGCCTACCGGAAGGGGGTTGTAATGTCACAGTCCGCCTCTTCACTACACTTCCCAGCATCCCTCATGTTTTCGCGCCTACCTGTCATCATCATTTACACCTCGGCGTAGTTAATCACCTTCATTTGTGTCTTCTGGTTTCTGTTCATTAGTGTCTGTATTTAGTTCCTTCCTGTTCAGTCTGTCCTTGTCGGTTGTTAGTTGTATTCAACATGTGTGTTATAATGATCGTCCTCCTGCCTGCCTGTGTGTACCTGTGATTTATATTAGTAAAACTGTCTGATTTTGAGCCTTTTGACTGTGAGTCTTCTTCAACCCACACCACGCCGTTACAGTTACATTGTATCATTCTCCAAACATTATGGAACGTTCCATTGTATCATTCTTCAAACATTATGGAACGTTACATTGTATCATTCTTTAAACATTATAGAATGTTACATTTTAATGTTCTCTGAACATCCTGAAACAATTTGTTACATTTAAAAAACACCAGATGAACATCCAACTGAAAACATTCCATGAACGCTGTATGAATAATGTTTTGTGCTAATGTTTTGAGACGATTATTAAACACCAGATAACTGAGTGATAACTGATGCGCAGGTGTTCATGTGTTCAGGTGTTCAGGTGTTCACGTACCTGCGGCGGGCCCGAGGCTGAGGTCCGGCTCCGTCCACTGCCATCCTCCACACAGCGCCTGCTTCCTCTTGACCAGGAACGAGCGTGGCATCCTGGAGCTCCTCTGATGAAGTCCACTCTACGGTGTCTGGAGAGTGAATCTCAGAGCGGAGGATTTCCATATCTCTGGAGAGAGGACACACCTGTGCGTGCGCGCGCTGCTTTAACTGCTGCTCCGCTGGTTTGCATGCCAGGTAGAGAGAATCTGGTCTCCTCATTTAACTGGACCTGCCATGCAAATGGAGCCGCGCGGCTGAAGGGCTCGGCGCTCTAACAGGAGCCGCGCACTAGGAAAATCATGCTTTTATTTCACGTTCCACTTGATTGTCTGTCGGGTTTATGTAACCCAAACTGGGACAAAGGCGATTCAAATGGGCTTCTTTACTGTTGAGTGTCTGTTAACCTGCCGGTGGACGAGCCTGAAAGCCTTTAGTTGGGACAGGTGTGCTTTTCTTCAGACTCCTCAAAAGCTTTTCCATCAGTTATCTGTCAGTGCAACTGTGCCCAGATCAGCAGCTCGCCGTCAGTACACTGGCAATGGAAATGCATGCCGTCCAATTAAAATAAAGCTTAAACTGGTCATTTTCATTGAACTTCTTAGACTAAAATAGCTCAAACTCAAATAGGAATGAAAATAATAATAAAATAAGATTATTAAATAAGATTTTGTTTATTTATAAAATTAAATAATAATTAAAAAAATAAATAAATAAATAAAAAAGGTTTATAAAGCGCCTTTCAAGACCTTAAGTTCGTTTTACAAAAAATTGTAAAAGTAATACAAATGTATGAAAAATACAATTTATTTATATAGCAACTTTCAAGACCTCAAGGTCACTTTATAAAAATTAATGAAAGTAATTAAAATGTAACTAATTTGAAATGGCATGATCTTATTTTTATGAATAGCTCTTCACAAGTCTTAAACCGAGCAGTCTCACGTTTACACAGTCATTAACGCTGCATGATGCAGGCAAAAATCATTTTTAATTTCTTCCTCAGTAGTTTTATTTTCTCTTCAAATATCTAAACATCTTCAAATCAAGAAACATTTACTTGAGATTGAAATGCAAAAGCTGGACAAAATGAAGCAAGATTATGCTTTTCCTATAACTCATGCTGACATTTATTCAATTTATTCCTTTAATTTGCTTTAATTGGTCTTAAAAGGGTCTTTAATTGATCCTCATTAAAGCTGTGTAAATAACGCATTGTTTATGTCGGTTAGTGTGGATTTATATGAGTGACAGTGTAATAACTGCATTGCACAGGATATTCGCTGTTATTATGCAAACTGTTGTATAGTGTGTATTAGAAGAAACTCGAGGTGAATCTGAACATCATCTGTGTTTACTGGATGCTGGTGAACACTAGAATACACAAACACACACTCACTCACTGGCAGTATAAAGCAGTCGAGAAACAGTCCTCACACACACACACACACACACACACACACTGCTTTGCATGTGTCTTTGAGCGCTGACCTGCTCAGACATGAAGAAGAACGTGTGTTTGACTGTTAAATGTCTCTGTTTGTGATGTCGACCACACCCGCTGACACACACTCCACATCTCCTTATTAATCACTGCTGTACTGTCAGCTGCACTGTGTGTGTGTGTGTGTGTGTGTGTGTGTGTGTGTGACTCTAACAGCAGGACTCATTTGGTTAGGGTTAAGGTTACACTAGAGGTACAGTGAACCAAACAAACACCAGGACTCGTTTTAAATGTTCGACTGGTAAAACACATGGAAGTGCTTAAATAACAGCGTCTGACAAACGTGAATGCAG